CCCCCCCCGTTATGCACACTGTTATGCACGATATCACTATTACATGCCATTACCTTTCTTCTTTAACTTGGTTGGCAGATACTGCATGCTCTTGGTCTGTGCTCACTGCTCTCACCAGCTTGCCAAGCGTTACTCTTGTGTCTTGTTTCCATCTCTCTGTGCTTTTCTCTCATGTCTCAACCAGCTGCAGCAGATGGACAGCACCTCCATGAGGCCGGTTCTACCAGAGGTCTCTTCCTGTTCTTTCTCTTGATGGCTGCCAAGTGCATGCTCATTGGGCTTTTCTCTCTAATACTGTAGGGATTTTACCTTAAATTTAAAACACCGTGAATATGACTGTTGTTGTGGCCTGCACTATATAAACTGAATTAAACTGAGTAAATAGCCGTTTGGTTGACCCTTCCCCAAACATACACCAAAGCCAAAAAAACTCAACCAAACAAGCAAATACAAAATAGCTTGACTGGATTAAACCGCAAACCTCTGGTAGAGACAACCAACAAATTCAGCCCCTTTATGCTTCTAAAAGAATTTCAATGACATGCTGTGCTTCAGAAGCAAAAAGTTGGCAAAAATGTCCTTGCCATTTCAGAAACCTCTTAAAAAGTAGGCAAACTATCACGTCTACCTGGAAAAAGAGACACGGAAGAAACCTTTGTGCAAAGAGGCGAAGATCAACAAGATGAAAGAGGAGCCGGAGATGAAAAAGCAAAGAAAGACCAGAAATTGAAAATCTGAAAGTGAACCCAAAGTCAAAGTGCACTCAACATTGAGCTCACAGTCTTATGAGACAAGGAATGTCTTCCAGCTGGCAAGGGAGGACACAGAAGAAGAAAGAAAAGCCTTTAGGAGAGGACTCAAGAGTGGTCTTTAGCAGGAAGACATTCAACATAAAAAGAAAGAAGATGGTCATGGCAAGAGCGGCCTACAAGAAAAGTCAGACTTTCAAATGATGAGGGAAGTTTTCCAGCTGGAGAAACTGGACATGAAAACAAAACCCCACTTTGAACAAAGAACCAAGGATGCACTTATGGAGGGCTTTGCATGGTGAAAACAATGAGATGATTGATGATATTAAGTCTTTTAAGATAGAAAAGGATGAGACAGCAATGTTGAGAAAGGCCTATTTCCAAGAGAAGAAAGACATTCAGAGCATTGCACAGGCTTTGCAGTTGGAGAAGCAAAGCACAGAAAAAGAAAGAAGATAACCTATACTGAAGAAATTATGACTTTAAACTAAAGAAAGACAACGTGAAAATAACTACGACGCACAAAGAGGAAACCCAAAAAAAGGATGGCAGAGAGTAGAAAAGGAAGAGTTAGCTTTAAAAAGGAAGGGCTACATTCAGTTAAAGACGGGTATCAAGAGTATGTGATGCTTTCCAGCTGAACAACTAGAAGGAATAGAAAGAACAGCCCGTGTTAGGAGCTTAAATTCAAGTGGACGAGGGGCTTTAAAACTGAAAGACAGAAAGGTGTTGGAGACAGAAAACAAACAATGACAACAATAACGGAAAAAGAACAATTTACTGGACTTATTTGTCACCACACACACAGGAACCACTTTGTCAACAACTGAGGTTTTCTTTGAGCCAAGGATGGAAATCCTCACAACCAAGACACTCACTGTGCTGTCCAACTGCTTTAGTGCTAAGCAGCCA